CCAGCGGTGCACCGTTACCCCACCTGGGACCTTAACAAGGTCCTTGTCGCTCTCACTAAGGGGCCCTTCGAACCCCTGAGGAAGTCAAGTCTCCAATTCCTGACATACAAAGTAGTTTTCCTTGTAGCGATTCTTTGTCGTATCTCGGAAATGGCAGCCTTGTCTGTCAGACAAGATCTCTATATGTTTCATGCCGATCGAGTGGTCCTTCGTCCCGATCCCACATTTATGCTCAAGGTCAATTCAGCTTTCCATAGGGCACAAGAGCTCATTCTCCAAAATTTTTGCCCCAGACCATCACAGGCATTGGAGAGACAATGGCATAAGCTTGATGTAGGACGCACACTGCGAATTTATATCAAGCGTACAGAGACCTTCAGGAAATCTGAGGCCTTATTTGTGTCCTTTCCGCCCAATACTGAGGGTCACAAAGTATCACCATCTACGATAGGCCGTTGGATACGGGCGGCAATAGCTAAATCATATCAGTCTCAATCTCTGCAGGTGCCAAAGGGCATAACAGCTCATTCAACTAGGAGCGCAGCAACTTCGGCAGCTTGGGCCACACAGGCACCAATATCTGAAATCTGCCGGGTGGCGACTTGGGCTTCCCCATCGCCCTTCATTAGACATTATAAAATTGATGTGTTTGCCTCTGCGGAGGCCTCCTTCGGCAGAAGAGTTCTGCAACGGGTCCACAGGGACCAGGAGGAGATTCTAGACCAGACGGAGTCCCTCCCATAGGACAGGCCAAGCTTTGGTATGTCCCACTACTGGATGCTCGGAGCAGCTCATAGGAGAAGGGGCGTTGGTACTTATCTGATACGCCCGTTCTCTTTGAGCTGCGAAGAGCATCCAGCCCCACCCCTTTTCCGTCTGGTGGGGTCCTGTTTCGGCCAACGAACTTTTTTTAGGTCTTGAGGATGAGAGCACTTATTTCTCTCGTCTTCGCAAAAACTGGGGAACGCATGGAGGAGTCACGTGGAGGAGGAGGAGCATTCCTCAATTAAAGCTCAGCCTATGGATGCAGAGACTGAAGCACCTCCCACTACTGGATGCTCTTCGCAGCTCAAAGAGAATGAGCGTATCAGGTAAGTACCAACGCCCCTTCCCAGCTGCAGCTAATGAAGGGAATCAGGGCCCTTTCCTTCCCCCGTAAGCCACGCAACTCACGTTGCTCCCTTCTCTGTTCCTTCTTACGTGCCCTAGGATGAAGAGAGGGGGGGGGGGTAGATCTTCCTCTGAATTAAAATCGCTCTTGCTCTACCTCTCCCCTGCTCTGTCCAGCCTGGACTGTGCCCTTCCCCAATTTCTTCCACAGCCAATGGAGCCACACTCCCACTCCCTTTCATCTGCTTGGTCTCCCCCTTGGAATCAGATTCTGACAGGGGCATGACACATAGTCTTACATGCAACTAGTCCTTTGAGGGCAACCATAATGCTGATGTGGCCCTCAATGTGATTGAGTTTGTCCCCCTGCCCTAGTTGATTGTTAAAAAATATCTCAAATAAATCTGGTAGATTACCCCCCCCCCTTTTGTACTGTGGGTCTATAAATAATTATAAAACTTCTCATCTATACCTGATGTATTTGGTATGTTATTACTTTACACCACAGTTTCTGAAGTAAAGAAATCTAATATCTATCAATCAGATCAACCCAATACCTGTTAGCTATTTAAAAAAGAAACTGTTAATTAGTATGCCCCCAAAATAAGCTAATATTCAAAACCCTCTGTTAACAATCCATTGATGTGATGGCCTAAAAGTGAAGACACACACTTTCCACTTGGAACATTGAGAGGTCAATCCTAGGCAATAGCAGATGTCTCTCTATCAGGGCACAAAGAGAAAATGTTTATTGCAAACTTGTGCATAGGTTTCAGGAAGGGAATCTGAATCAGCTCCATTCAGTTGCCCTGATTCCACCCAGATAAAAGGAATTATACGATCGTAAAAGAAAAAATGTATTTAACTCCCAGAAACTCCACAAATGGCTTCCACTCTCTTATAAACTTGTTCGAAGCATTATCTCTAACCAATGCACTTCATTTCACCATTTCTGCCAGTTTCAAAATTCATTCTTTTACTGTTGGTTCTCCTTTTTCTTTTCAATATTTGGGATAAATAATCCTTGCCTTCAGACATATTTTTCAAAGAACAGATTTTTAAGATAATTCTATTGCTATGTGTTCTTACATATATTTATTTACAAGGCACCAGTGACCATACGTAAATGTCATAACATCATTTCAACAGTCATTGCAGCTTCCCTGTTATTGTTATAATACCACCCTACTTGGAACTGCCTATATACAGCCTTAACAGCTCTTAGGTCCTTGGTTAGGACTTGAACTGTTATATTTTTATCAGTGCCAGACTATAAATCGAATTGAAGATTAACCATAATAACAACAATAATAAAATTTAAAATAACATTAACAGACAGGGGTCTTATTTATAATGTTTTATCAGGTTTTCTTTCTCCGTAGCATTGATGCTAAGTGTTGCACACACATTCTATTAGACATGTCAACATTAGTGTTTTAGATATTCTGCATTTAATTTTGAAAACTTTGGGTAGAAATCTGTGATGCTGTGTCCATCACAGAATTACATTTTACAATATTCTCAGTATGGATGATGTAGAGAAATTATCAAATCTTCACCATTACTGTTATGGTAGAAGAACATAATTGATCTTCTTCAGACTTAGCAACTAAGTAGGATCAAAGTTGGTTAGTGCTTGAATGAAGATTATGAGGGAATATTGGCCTATAAATAGGCTGGGAAATTTAAAAATACACCTTGGAAGACTGTCATAACAAATCACTGTGCTGTTATTAAAGTAGTGACAGTGGTAGTAATTATTTGTTATTCCTTCCTTTCAATTATGTTTGATTCTCAGAGACTGTCTGGACAAGTCCCTGCAGTTTTCATGAAAAGGGTTTGTTTAGAAGTGGGTTGCCATTTATTTCTTCATAAGGCTGAGACCCAGCTGATTTTGTGCTGAATCTTCCAGTTTCTAACTGCAAAAACTGGCTCTAGTATCATCATCAACACTTTACAAAAACAGGAGCAAGATGAATGAGTTTCTTCCTCTAACTTAGAAAATAACATTTAAATTCCACAGTTACATATTTATCTTCTTCTTTTTTTTCAATTTGTCACAACTAACTTGCTCACAGAATTCAGTATAAGCATTTTAATAGCAGCAATGCAGAACCAACTAGTAATTTGAAACATGGCCTTCCCTAAATACGCTTTTAGTCCTCTGCCTATTAGTTTTCATGTGTGCTGGGAAAGTTCAGTACCTTGCTGCTGTGTGTTGATAACAAAGCAGAGGTAGCTGCAACTTATGTAAGAGTTATGAGCAGGAAATGAGATTGCCTTTTTCTGAGTTTAAGTATATTTTTGTTTCATCATAAAAGATAAAGTACAAAACAGAAAAACAAAACAAAAAACATACATCCAGCACTAACAACAACAACAAAGAAAAAAATTGGTGTACACAAACAGAAAAAAGGTGTCCCAAATATTATTTTTATGAGATTGCCTTTGCTCTTCTCCAGATCCTTGGCTGAAAAAAATCTTCTGCCTTAGTACCATATTTTTTGGATTATAAGATGCTCTGGACTATAAGACACACATTAGATTTAGAAGAGGAAAACGTGGGGAAAAATCTTCCTCTGCCTCCCAGCAATTTGCCTCCTTACAGCAAACAACCTCGTCAGCTTCAGCACAACCTGATTTAGCACAAGCAGCTAATAGGCGGTTGGATCGACCTCCCGCAATATCGCCCATCGTTCCAGGCTGTGGGGATCGTCACCGCCTATTGCCGCCGATGCTTATTGCCACCTCCATGCACCCCATTGTTGGCTCCGCACATACTGTTTTCGGCATCCGCGTGCTCCGTTTTCAGCCTCTGCGTGTCCCATTTTCGGCCTATTCCAGATGGCGATAGGCAGCGGTGGCGATCCCCGATATACCTGACCAGGCTGTTTGCTGCAAGAAAGCAAATTGATGGGAGGCAGAGGCTAAAGGGTGGGGGCTGGCAGGTAGGCGGGGCTTTGGCAAAATTCCCTCTATAAGATGAACAGACATGTCCACCCATTTTTCGGGGGGTGGGGGGGAATGTGTCTTATAGACCAAAAAATATGGTACTTCCTTCCCAAATTAAAAGCCAGCAGATAGGAGCGTGAAGAAATGGGCCAAAGGAAGATGGGAGATCCGTTTAGGCCTAGCTCAAGAACTCTCACACGGATAAAGATGACATAAAAGGTGGTGATAAGAATTCTCAAGAGAATTGCCTGAGGTGTTCTAAAGTTATTTACTGGAAAGAAAAGAAGATAGGTTGTGCCCTGCCGGATCAGACCCAAGCACATCTAGTCTAGCAAGCTGTTCAACCCACTCCACAAGGAAGCTCTCTAACCTTCCAGCTGATGTTCTTCATAGGCAACCAAGCTGGTAGCCAGGATTACATCTCACAGCAATGATTTCTATAGTTTAATTGGAAGAGGGAATAAAAATAATCCTTTTAGGGGTCCTGATTTTTCTAGGATTCAATTTCATTGGGTGAAATATCTCAGATTCTTGTCCGATTGGAACATCAAAGAGAAAAAAGTGGAACAATCAGGATGCTGAAAAGATATAAGTAAGAGGTCCTCATTTTCTTATTGGTAGCACCAAGAAAGGCCTATGTGCTTAGTCTACATTCTCTATGCAAATTTTACTGATGTATCTTGGAATTAATATTTGTTTGCTTTAAATACAGTTCTATTTTTCATTCAGAAATTATTTCATGTGATATTTTCTTTAAGGATATCTTTGATCAGAAGATCTCTTAGAATAAACTCATAGAATAACAGAGTTGGAAGGGACCTTGGAGGTCATCTAGATGTAATATATCAAAAATGCACAACAGCTTGATAAACCCAGCAGAGTGTGACAGTATTAAAGATAGTCGCATTCTCCTTTTACCTGTGATTGTATGCTTGCAGAATCCAGCCATTCCAATGCAGAAGCTGCAAGACATTCAAAGAGCTATGGAGTTGCTCTCAGCGTGTCAGGGCCCAACCAAGAATATTGATGAAGCGACCAAACGTAAATACCAGTTTTGGGACACACAGCCTGTACCCAAGCTTAGTAAGTTTATTGCTTAGTAAATTAATTTAAACAGCATTGGTTTCTTTTTCGTTGGAGGACGATTGTATTTTAACAATATATAGTTTATAGATCACAAAAATTCATCTCAAATGCACAGACGAAACCATTTACTACTCAAAACAGTTTTAAGATTAAGGTAAAAACAAACTTTACCACTAAATAATTAAGTGGAAGATTGTCATTTGAAAAACTACTACGTAATTTTAACATTAAACTACTTTCAGATTTTAAGCAGTGAAGAGTTGAAGACTTTCATGCCAAATTTTCTAAGAATTTTTTTTATTCATTTCAATGTATAATACCTGTAATTCCTTGTCAGTTTATATATTAAGCCTCAATACAAATTCTTTAGAAAAATATTCCTGGTAAAACACAGAAGAATCAAACAAATTGTTTTCAAAGGACATTAAGCATTTTAAATTTTATTTTTCAAGAATATGAAACACTTAATTTTATTATTAAGGTTATTATAGTTGTTCTCTGGTTAAGATACCTGTATTATTGCTGTTTGCAGCTTCTGCTTTGCTGGCCCATCACTTCTTTGTGAGTTCAAAAAGCCTTACTGCAGAACTGTTCTCTAACATAAATAGTAATTGCTTTTCATGTGGCATCTATAGTCCAGAAGGCTGTATTGCATTGCAATTGCTTCTCTTTGTAAAAGCAGAAACACTCAGGAACATATTGTGGATTAGGAAATGACACCTGTGTACTGAATTGTTCCAGTTATATACAAGTAAGATAATACAATTATAAAGTGGTTAGTTTGGAAATGTTTCCCTGCAAGGTTTATATTTGTGTAGCTATATTTTGAATCTTCTTTTTAAAATATTATCATTAATAAGTTTTGCCAGGTTTAATTTCTATGCTTTGTATTGTTCTTCTGATCTCTGAGAAAATAAGATCAGTTTTGAAATGGCAAAGGAAAGAGAAAAAAAAGTGAATCTTCAAATTGTAATAGTTGTTCTGAAAATATGGACATTGATTAATTATGAGTCATTAAAATTAGTTTTTAATTGCATATTGCAAAAATATCAGATTAATTAAAGTTCAGTTTTCGAAAGCTTGGCAAGGATTTTGTTATAAATCCCTCTGGTAAATAGTTGTGCATGAGGTATGAAAGAAGAGATTTTTAAATTTGCAGACTCTGTATGTCACTGAAAATAGTTCCTTCTTTAATTGGGAAAATTAGAACTACTGTTTGAGTCGAAATTCAATCTAAAGTGATTCATCTTGAGAAGTTGTTTATTGCAGTCAAAGAAAAGAAGCAGCAGGTAGTAAGCAGTTCCATAACATGTATTAAAATTCTGTAGAGAGTGCTATTCCCTTGACAAAATTAACAATTACAATACAATTAAATATCTAGGAAAAATACAGTGACATTATTGATAACTTAGTTGACATAAAATGAATTTGGTCATGGACTTTTAACAGCTTGACTTAATTTTTGTTAAGTAAACCTTCCCTCAGCTTCCCTGAAAGCCGAAAAAAATGATTTAAAAACTTTCAAGCTTACCTTCTTTTTCTCTAAGGTGAGGTTATAACATCGCATGGTGCTATTGAACCAGATAAAGATAACATTCGCATAGAGCCGTATTCTTTACCGCACGGTTTCACTTGGGACACGTTGGATCTGAGCAACACTGAAATTGTAAGTAGAGTCCCTTGCAGTCTTTCAAATATAACCCTGGTTTTGTGTTTGGGTATTTGTGTGTGTATTGTGTGGTGCATTCTGCCAGTGTAATGAAATTGCCTGGGGACATGAACTGGAGAGACACAGAAGTCCCTTCCTGACCACATAGTTCTCCATTTTCTTTTGGACCAGCCTGTTAGGGTAACATTTGTTTTTCTGGGGAAGAAAATAGCAAACAACACCTCTTCCCCACAAACGCCCCCCCCCCCACTCAATTCTTAATTCCCAGGGGAAAATGTTGAGCTACAGATTAGAAGTGAGGGCAGAAACGCTGAGATACAGAACGGAAGTGAGAACATTTAATCCTCTGGATTTTCATTAAAAGCTGATATAACTGACTTTCCCCACTCTCCAAGTAGCTAGGAATAGCTTTAATCACAGGATCTTATTGGATCTTATCAATTTACGTTGAGACTGAGAGCCAGCGTGGCATAATGGTGAAGGCTAGGACTGGAAGAGTGTTTCTCTTAAGATAAGTCATGTGCTCAAATTCAGAGCACAGTGAAAGCTGCTGGATTCAATAAATTGATGGCTTCCCTCTATTCTTTTTTTCTAGTTAAAGGAGTTGTACATGCTGCTAAATGAAAATTATGTTGAAGATGATGATAACATGTTTAGATTTGACTATTCACCGGAATTCCTTTTGTGGTGAGTCCCAGTTTCTGTATACATCAAGGGGAAACTATGGAGAAGTAATGATGTCATTGGCCTGTTCTTTTCTCAGCCCTTTCCCCTCATCTCTCTTGCTAGACAGCAAGGAGGAATTACACAGATTTTTTTTTCATATTTCATGCTTGAAAAGTTTACAGTACAAGTAGCTCAACCTACGACCATTTGGGACAAAAATTTCCATTGCTAAGCAAGATAGTTGTTAGGTGAGTCATGCCCAATTTTACAACCTTTTTTGCCTTGATCGTTAAGTAGATCACTGCAGGTTATTAAGCAAATCCAGCTTCCCCCATTGTTTTGTTAGGAGCTGGCTAAAAAGGTTGCAAACAGTGATATCTTGACCCCAGGACTGTGCCATGCTCCTCAGTTTTAATCATGTGCCTGTGGGGCATGCTGCGACAGTCTGAGGATCGATTGTAAGTCACTTATTTCAGCGTCATTATAATTTTGGATAGTTATTAAATCGATGGTTGTAAGTCAAGGACTCCTTTTATTAGGTCAAAAGGAAGACCTAATTGTTACTTTCATGCCTTTTTCACCTTTTAGGGCCCTTAGACCGCCAGGTTGGCTTCCTCAGTGGCACTGTGGTGTCAGGGTATCATCCAATAGGAAACTGGTGGGGTTCATCAGTGCCATTCCGGCACACATTCGGATTTATGATAGGTAAGCCCTAACTGATTAGCAAGGTAGCTGGAGACTCTTAGGTTTTCTTAAAACCATTTGCATGAATTTTCCTTTATCAAAAAGTTATATTTGGAAGAAATTCTAAGGGGGAACATTGGTGAAGTATTGAAAACGTTTTAAATATCTCAAGCTAAAGTCTTTGTCCATTTACTCCAACAATTAGCAACTTTTTCTGTGATAACATCATCATACAATATCTGTAGAGTTTATTGCCATTTGAAAACATTTTCTTCCTCCTCTTTCTCTTCATCATCACCTTTTAATCTTGGAGACCATCACTCATTATCTATCAATACCTTAAACACTGTGGTGCAACCACACTTAACATCTCTTTGCTTTCATTGCCCCACTAATAATGTTTATTGAGAATTTTAGTTTAGTTTATTGTCATTTCACCTTGTATAATTAAATTAAATACCATCTTCAGTGTACATTATGACTATTAAAATAAACACAAACACATATCCTTCACATTTTATACATTGAATTGGAAACCCCTGATATTGCCAAGACTTGACTGGAGGGTCAAGCAGATAGGAGGAGTTCATTTTCCACAGTCAGCCATCCTATAGTGGAATATTTTAGAGGACAAAATTTGCAGACACCTTTTTCCTCAAGTCCTGTGTTAAATGTGGTACATACATAAACATTCAGGATATTTGAGTGATGTGTACTAGCTGCAAGAGTAGATTAAAATTTAGTTTGTTTGATTGCTATTTAGGATCTTGTGTGAGTCTACTATTGCAACTTGCAAATTATTTATAGGCATGTTTATTTTAGTTTAATGTTATTGTCATTGCACCTTGTACAATAAAATTAAATACCATCTTCAATGTATATGCAAATATGACTATGAAAATAAACACAAACACACATCCTTCACATTCTATACATTGAATTGAAAACCCCTGATATCTCATTAATATTGCACTATACAGTAGAACTCAATAGGGTTACTGCCCTGAGACAGAAGCTGTTTTTCGGCCTATTTGTCCTTGTTTTTATTATCGTGTACCGTCTGCGAGATAGTAATAGTTCAATAAAAGGTTGCCCAGGATGAGATGGATCTTTGAGAATATTTTGAACTTTCCTAAGGCAGTGGGAGCTATAAAGCTCTTCCAAAGACAACCAATGATCTTCTGGGCAATGATGTTAACCCTTTAGAGTGCTGTCCTATCTGCCACTGTGCAATTGGCCAACCATACAGAGGTGAAATAAGTTAAGATACTCTGTATGGTGCAGAGGTAGAAGGTCACCAGCAGTTTTTCATTCAGTTGTTGTTTTGTGAGAAGTCTCAGGTAGTATAATCTATGCTGGGCCCTTTTGACCAGGGCTGCAATGTGGGCACCCCAGGTCAGGTCCTCTTTTAGGGTAACACCCAGAAACTAAAACTGGCCACTTGCTCCACTTGGTCTCCATTGATAAGCAAGGGCTGGATGTCTGATCTGTTCCTTCTATAGTCCACTATAAGCTCTTTGGTCTTATTGGTATTGAGGACCAAGTTATTGTCTTCACACCACAAAAATAACCGGTCCACCTCATCTCGGTAGGCAGACTCATCCCCCACACCCTCCGGAGATGAGTCCCACACTGTTGTATCATCTGCAAATTTAATAGTAGTATTACTAGCATGAGTTGGAATGCAGTCATGCACATAAAGAGTATAGAGTAATATTCACAATTAACAATGTCATTTCAGCATTTTTTCACTTCCCAGAAGTATTGGAGTTCACTGTCATTATTACAGAGTTGGAATTATAAGATCATCATGAAAGTACTGTAGCAATGCTTAAAAGAGAGAAAGCTCTCGTCTAATTATATATATTGGAGCACATTGAGGAATGCTAATCAAATTCGGCCTTACATTTTCTCCTATCCTGCCCTGCATATGTTTACACATGTGTACACACTCCCCCACTTTCTTCTCCTTTGTCTTCTACTTATGTCTCAAAATAAAATCCAAAACATGTTCTTACCCTTAACTAGTTTTTAACATATTTCTGAAATTTGGCTGCTGACCCCTTAATTTGGAGAAGAAAAGGTTAATATGTTCAGAGTAGCAAATGAGTAGCAGGAAGAGGCAGACTTGCCTTTGCAGAAATCACAGATAAATACTACATGTGCCAGAATCAGCAATCAGCAACCTGTGCTCATAATTTCTGTAAGATATTCAAGCCCTGAGCAAGTAGAATTGATACTAGTATTTAATATTTTTAAAAAATCTAATTTAGTGGCTATATTTGGTTCCCAGCAGAAACCCCTCAAAGCAGAAAATCAACTGTCAGAGCAACTTTTCTCCCTCGATTTACTTCTGTACAACTATCTGTGACTTTTTAAATATGGGAAATGTCAAATCAGAATCTTCTATATGTAAGGGATATGGTAGATAGTTTTACTGTATTTATTTATCTCAAATACGTAACATCCACAGTGAATCCTACAGAGGGTTGCAGAACAAAGTGTAAAATTTACTCAAGAAGTTATCTTTGACCCAAAATATAAATATGCCCAGTCCAGTCAGCAGACTGGACTGAAATATTTCATTAAAAATCAGAACATGGAATATGCATATGCAATTCAAAAATTTACCACTCAGAACCCTTCCCTATAAAGGAAATAGTTTGCCTTGCTTTGCTATTTTTTCACAAAGTACATGCACCTCCTTGGGAAAGAGAATCCTAAAAAACGAGGGTTCCTGATATGGATTCAAAATGCTTATTATTTATACAGCTGGAAAATAGCAACATTTAGAAATACAGCCACATTCTCTTCGCAGCATGTAACTCTACCTGTTAATACACACAGTATATGTTACTTGCAGAACAAGAAAATTGGCAGCAATCCACTGGAATAATCTCTTCATTTTTTATATTAAATCTTCTTTTAAAAAGGTACAAAAATTTCATACACTGAAATATTTGGTTCTGGGAAATGAATCTACTTTATTTCTCATGTACCTCACAAAAAGGTATACAGAAGCTGGAATTATGGAAATAATTTATTTTTCCTATTTCAAAATGTGTTGCTAAGCTGGGGAGTCTTCGTAGTTGAAGTCCAAAATTGCTACTGTTGGGAAACACTGATGCAGACCCACCATCTAGTCCATTTTCTTTTCACAAAGCCTCATCAGTAACTGGTTGGAGAAAGTTGTAGAGCAAGGATAGATGCAGTCCCAGGTGGACTCCAAACTCTTTTTTGTGACTGCAGGAATTATTCAAGAAGGTGCTTCTGAAATTAGCAACAAACCAGATATAGAAACCACAACACTTTCCACCCTCTTTAAAACATAGAGAATAGCAGAGTATTAAGCCTTAATTTAGCTACTGTATTTTGAAAAACAAACAGTAATTTCCTCCAATGTAAGGTTCTGTCCCCCTCTGTGATGATGATTGATGATGACAACAATTACATAGATGTAGTTCTTTCTTTAAAATAACACTTCTTGATTCAAAGTTTTCCCTGCGTCTATAAGAAATATGTTTTTGTAAGGTTGGGAAGAGTTGGTCAGTAGGGTAGGCAGGGGTGGGATTCTACCAGTTCAGACTGGTTCTATAGAACCAGTTGTTACGATTCTGCGCATTTCAGAGAATCGCATATTATGCCCTTGGCTGGCCCCTCCCATTTCTGCCCACCCCGCCCCTCCCCATCCAGTCAGTCCTTAACGTGCATGTGCAACATTGCGTGCATGTCCAACATCACTGACTGCATTCTGCCCCATCCAGTCACTCCTTAAGGTATTTCTTTTTTTCTCCCCTCCGAACCATCAGCTGTACCTATGCTGTGCTGGGATTCCCCTCGCTTACTTACTGCTTTGCCCAGGAGGCTTCCCTGAGGCCCCCAAAAATGGGGGGGGGGGTTTGCTGCAAAAAAAAGAAGAAGCCACACCCACCCAGTCACATGGCCACGCCCACAGAACTGGTTGTTACAAAATTTGAATCCCATCCCTGAGGGTAGATAATATTAGTTGGACAATATATAAGAATATTTGTACTCCTTCAAAAAGTTAAGTACTTGCTTATGTATTTTCTTTAACAGTGACAAGAAAATGGTAGAAATTAATTTTCTGTGTGTCCATAAAAAACTACGATCAAAGCGAGTAGCACCAGTCCTGATCCGTGAAATAACCAGAAGAGTAAACTTGGAAGGAATTTTTCAGGCTGTTTACACTGCAGGAGTCGTCCTTCCCAAACCTGTAGCAACTTGCAGGTAAGTAAAGACTATTATTGTTTTAAGAATTTACATAATTTTTGTTATAAATTGAATGGTCAGTTTAACTTCAGATTGGAGGGGTTTTAGGGAGTAGGGAGGTTTTTCACATTACAGAACAGGCAGTGATGAAATAAGAATTGACATTTCTGCGTTTCTTGAAAATGTATGAGCTCCAGTTGTGAAACTCATGGCTATTGTAAACATCTACAGTTTTCATTTTGCATGTCAGTATCACAAGATGGAAACACAAAAAAAGTGGAAGTTGAGGTATGGTTCCTTATCTCCTCGCCTCATTTCCTTTGAATATTGCAAAACTTGTGACTTAGCTAGATTCATAGCTAGATTCTGATTACCTTACTTTCATTGTTTTAAGGATTTAATCCACCTGAAGTTTTATTTTAGCACTAGTTTTATTAGCTACCGTGTGAGACCCAGCCTGAACACAAAGTCTCGTAAACAAAAACAAATCCACAGTGAATAAGTGAAAATGCTTTCCAATCAATGAATGCACAGTCTGTAAATATACATTCTTTTGAGATTACTAATGTATTTCAATTTAAGCAGCCTAATAAAGTTGATTTTTCCCCTTATTTTATTTTAATGAAGTAATAAAAGTCCATGTAGGCTACAATTTTTGAATCTACTCCATTTTCTAAGCAGAATGCTGTTTTTCCTTTCTGTCTCCTCTTGGCTTGACAAAAATAAACGTTTCAAGCTCTCTTGAATATACAGTCATCCTCCATTTATGACCAAAATTGGACTGAAATTTTCTGTTTCTAAGTGACACAATTGTTAAGTGAGTTTTGCCCCATTTTACAACATTTGTAAAGTTAAGTGAATGGCTGTAGTTGGTTAAGTTAGTAACACGGTCGTTAAGTGAATCTGGCTTCCCCATTGATTTGGCTTGTGAAAAGGTCGCAAAAAGTGTTTGCATGACCCCGAGATGTGGTGTTCTGACCCAGCTCCCCAAACACGACAAACTCTCTGACGTGAACTCAAAAGATTCCTTTATTAGGAATGCTGGCAGCCCCAGCAAAAAGTTTCTCTCACAGGCTAACAAGTCTATCCGTCTGGAAGATGAGTAGTTGTCTGTCACACCTATTCATCTCCGCCCCCTGCCTTTTATCCCCAGAGCTAGGGTGGGGTCTCGCTAGCAGCGGTGGCTCTTCCATCCCAAGGATCGGCCCATGGATTTCCACTGCTCTCCTCTCCTCTGCGCAGCCATGCGTCAGGCACTGGACCCAGCTGTTCCTCCTCTTCTTCATCAACCACCTGCAGACCTGGGGGTTGTTTACTCTCCATCTGAGGGCTGACAGATGGCCCAGGCTCTACCTCTGTCTCTGTCTCTCTCTGCCAGCTCCATTCCCTCTTCCCCCTCCCAGGTTGGCCTGATGCTGGCCCTGACTCCCACACCTCCTCCTCCTCTGATTTGGCTGCTGGAGGGGCACAATACATGGTTTTAAATATGAGTCCGTTGCCAAGCACCCAAATTTTGATTCCCATGATCGTGGGGATGGCTGCAATAGTCATAAGCCTGAAAAACAGTCATCAGTCCCTTTTTTCAGTGCTGTTATAACTTTGAATGGTCACTAAATGGTTATAAGTCAAGAACTACCTGTATGACCTTTATAATCAATCTCAGACAGGCCACGCAATAGTGAGTTAGCACCGTGTTGGGCCCATGACTCCTCATTGCCTGGAGTCAAATGCCAAGAAGACGTTGACAGTGTTATTAGAAATAAAAAGATGCTAACTGGATGAGTAGACACAGGGAACACATTTTAAAATTAAGCATCAAAGGGGTGAAATATTTAAAGACCGTGAAATCTTCCTCTTTGTACCTAGATGTTGACTCTGCAAACTTTCAGTAACAAACTAATATCATATACATATATTTTCTCCTATGTTTTTTCTAAAAAGTATTTTTCAAGGGTTAATTATTACAGGGAGACAGTATAGACCAGGGGTAGTCAACCTTTTTATACCTATCGTCCACTTTTGTATCTCTGTTAGTAGTAAAAAATTTCTAACCGCCCACCGGTTCCACAGTAATAGTGATTTATAAAGTAGGGGACAAAACCCTTACCGCCCACCATGAAAGCTGGAATGCCCACTAGTGGGCGGTAGGGTCCAGGTTGACTACCACTGGTATAGACTATGTGGAGAACTTACTGAGTCAGTTTAACATACCAACATAACATCAATTTTTATTCAGCATGGTTTCCTTCAAATGTACAGGAATTTAAACGTTCCATTGATTATGAATTCTGAGAGTCATACTTCTGGAGTCCACAGTATTGGTAAAGACTGTATTGGTCTGAAGCAGAGTTCTTCTGCTTCAGCAAATTTTAGATATATGGACTTCAGTTCCCAGGATGCATGGCTGAGATTGTGAAATATTGATCTGATGCATGTATAGAAATCATTGAATTCTTTGCTATACTTGATTTTATTGTCTGTATTTCTTTTAAAAAGTTACTCTACAGAAACGCAGAATGAGTTGTGCATTCAGGTTATTCTACTTCCACTAAGCCTTCATCTACGTTAGAGTATATATTTAGGGGCAAGTTCATTTGGCAATATTTTGTGTAGGTTGTACTTATGACTTTATTAAAATTGCAACATGCCAGATATTGCAACAAAGGATATAAATATTTTTGAATAGTTGCATTCAAAGTCATCTTGGCACAAAATAGATTTGTTTCTTGCATATTTCATTTCTTCTAGTCAAATATACAAAACACAAAAACACAAGAAAGGCACCAAGAAATATAAAAGCATATAGTAATGTAGATTTTTTAGTTGATTTTGTTTTTTGTTGTTTTCTTTAAGTTGGGTGGAATGCGATAAACATTTGCAGCATATGTTTAATAGAATATTGCCTTTTATCACCAAAAAAATCCATGAATCATACCACTGCCATTTGTCTAAAAATGATATAGGGTCTCCTGCTTGATCAGGAAGTTGGACTAGATCTCCAAGGTCCTTTCCAACGTTATTATTCTTTTGTGTAGGTGCCCATTTCTTGCATTTCCAGGAAAGTTTGGGGGAAAAATATTTATTTCATATTCTAAATAATTTGACAATACAAATGAGATCTTTTTAATAGTTTGATTGCATATATTAGCAACTTATGTCTCTTTTAACAGCTGTGGTACAAATGATTAATTGTAATTACCCTTACAATTAAGGGTAAAGAATAAAACTTTACACAATGTGTAAATATACACCCTGATGGGTCTTTTGTATATAGTTAACAAAATGTCCCATAATGATAGTCCTCAATTTCTGATCAGTTGTTTAATGATAATTTGGATTCAAGTCTTATGAAGAGTGCTTCATGACCATTGCAAAACGTTGTGCCTCTCCCATCCCTGTAGTTCAGGCACTTGACAACCAGCTCACATTTACAGCTGGTTGTAGCTTCTTATAATTACCTGACTGTGATTTGCAACATTTTTTATCAATTTCTCACACTTCTTTTCCAGTTTCTGGCAAAAAAAACAACCCTACCCATTTAGGAGAATGCATTTGCACTTATATGATTTGTTTAACTGGAGTGAATCATGTCCAATTATGACATCATGACTTGCAATTGAAATTTCTGGCTCAATTGCAATTATCAGTTGAGGATTACCTGTAAATATTTTCTGTGTGTAAGGACAGAACTGAAATGCAATAATGATACTACAGCTTTACCCATTCAGTGGCCCTCCAATTGTTTTGGGATAGGAACTTCCATAATCAGCAACAACTTTGAGGGATGGTCCCAGTACATTTGGAAAACATCAAATTGGACAAAGCAGATATGCAGCTACTTACTAAGATATAAGATTCATTAATCTTAGCAGATTCTTATTTCTGAGTAGACATGGATAAAATCACATTCTGAAGTAATATGTTGAACTGAGTACCCTGGAAGATCTGATTTGGAAACCTATAAGCTATAGGAAATAATGTTTTTTTTTTTTTGTGGATTGGGTATATCACTAGTATTGAACATTTTATTATTATTTGATGCAATAACAACAAAGAACATTCTTAATTTCAAATCTAAAACCTCAGTTAATTTTCAGACTAATATTGTCTCCTACATTAGCTATAGAAATGTGTAAAATTAATTTGTTGAAAAGAAGGCAAATGCATTGATGGTGCTGAGCAACAAATCTTTTACATGCGTTATGATTTTGTGTGTGTGTGTGTGTGTGTGTGTTTATACACACACATATATAAATTTAAATTTTTCTAGATACTGGCATCGATCGCTGAATCCCAGAAAATTGGTAGAAGTGAAATTTTCTCACTTGAGCAGAAACATGACATTACAGAGAACAATGAAGCTCTACAGACTTCCTGATGTAAGCAATGCGTCCACCAGAGGACCCTCATTCTCACAACAAAATAGCCTTCTGTCCCTGCCAAGGCAAGCTTTCCATTTGGGGGAGGCAGTACTGTGTAAAAAGGGAAGGGATACAAGGGTTGTGGGGCAGAACCTCCAAAGAATAGACTTTCCTGGAAAGAGGAGTTGCGTATGTACGTTCACCTGGCATCAGAAGACATTTTTTTTGTAAAGATGTGGATGGTTGGAGAAAAAGTATTATTTTCTTGAATATATGATACCTCATGTCCTTATATGAATATACTAATTATTTTTTGAGCTCTTGAAGAAAAGGCACATTATAAGAAGGAGATCTTGAGAAGAAAGCACATTATAAAAATCTCTCTGGTACCAATGGAGAGCACTTGGTACTAATGATGAATTCTAAGGCAAAAAAGCATGATATAGTTGAATTATTTTAGTTCAGAGGAATTCCTTTGATAAACACGCAGGCACATACATACACCGGAGGGGGGGGGAGAGAGACCAGTTTATAACTGATTGTGCTGTTTAATATTTAATAATTGTTGAGAAGAATGAGAGGCAGTGTGTGCAAAACACTGCTTTTCACCAGTTGAATATGACTGAGAAAAGTTTGGAATTGTAGTCCCAATGCCTCTTGATTGTTGCCTCTGGCTGAATACTTTCCTGCTGATGACAGCCTACATGGGGTATTAGCTCTTTGAATTTCTGTCTTCTTTCATTATAATAAGGCCACAAAAACTTCAGGCTTGAGACCTATGGAACGAAAAGATATCAAAGCAGTGCAAGAGTTGATTAACAATTACTTGAAGCAATTCAATCTTGCTCCTGTTATGGATGAAGAAGAAGTGGCTCACTGGTTCCTGCCTCAGGATCATATTATTGACACGTTTGTGGTAGAGGTGAGAGAGAGGCCCTTTTCCTACCGCAACCCCTTCCATATAGAAACCTTTCCTTGGCTATTTTCTTTCTCATGAGGTTTCTGTGTTTGAATGGAGGGCTAATACATATATAAACTAATTTGGAGCAAAATCTGTTTTGTAATTTCTCAAAAGGGTTCTTTCCCCACAACCAGAAACTTAATCTTTTCCCCCCTCTTGCAAATGTTCCTGAGATTAATTTTATTGTTGGGGGTGGACGGATGATGGAAGTACTACATTGTTGTTGGAGACTGTTGTTTCCAGCTACACACCTTCTTTTCATTCTGATGCCCATAATCCCTTCACCCTGGGATGGGAGAGTGCATAAAGCAAATACTGTATTTGTCAATGAAGAAATAGAGCATTGGTCTGAATATCAGAGGGATACCCTTCAGGTTCAGAAAGATCTGAGCTAAAGTATTCAGCTAAAAGTGGATGGACTCGGGTTTCTTGCTCTGCCTCACCATTTTACACTGAATTATCATAACCTGTAATTTTGCAGACCAACTGGGTGACTTAAGAGTTATAATACTGTAGAGTCCTTTGTTTGCATTCCTTCACGTTTTTTTTCTTTTCCAGAATTCAAATGGTGTTTTAACTGACTTTCTGAGTTTCTATACATTACCTTCAACAGTCATGCACCACCCTGCTCATAAAAGCCTCAAAGCAGCCTATTCCTTCTATAATGTTCACACGGAAACCCCTCTCTTGGATCTAATGAATGATGCACTGATTATAGCAAAGATGGTAGGTAATGCAATAGTTCCTTTATTTTCCTTTTTTTTTTTTACAGAAGAGTGAAGTTGGCTTAAAGCCTCACTGATTTATTTTCTTTAGCAAGAACAGTAAAGCAAATTGTGGGAATGTTTTCTTTGCTTATTGGAACTTTTTGTTTCAGCCCAGTCCTTGATAGGAAAGTGTGAAGAGGCACAGCCTCTGCTTATTCAAAACTCCTGTGCTTGCCTTACAGCCCCAGATGACTTTGGGGTTGCACGTGGCTTTTCCAAATCAAATCAAAGCTTTGTATCTGGGCTACTTCGGTTACAAGAAATGAAAAGTCAGTCAAATATGACTTCTATGACCTACTGTAGGAATGTAGCAGAGAAAAAGGTTTGTCTGTATTGTGTATGCATTGTGATCGTTACACAAGGTTACTAATGCTGTTAAGATTTTCAGGTTCTAAGTTGTAAACATACAGAATACTGCGTTGGTTTGGCTGGCATTTCTGAGCTTTAGTGTGCATGCCATTGCAATCTATATGTTCCTGGATTGTGTTGATGCAAACTCATTGCTAAAAATATAAAACATTGTTGATTTATTGAGTTTGTTGTCTGGTAGATACAGTAGTATAATGTTTGGAATGTTCTTGATTTTTTATTGCAGTTAATATTACTCATGCAGCTGCTTCAGCTTCTTTTCCTTTAAAGATTACACCTTCTACAAACAGCCCAAATGTCCAGCTAAGGAAAAGCATGTTCAATTGGCTGCTTTCATTCCTTGCTATAGGGTATGAGGGGAATAACTTTTCCTTTTTTCAAAAAGGCATCCTCGTTTCATTTTTCATAGGTTAGAAGAATCAGCACAACACTTAACAGAAATAGCAATAGCATTTAGACTTACATACCATTTCACGGTGCTTTATAGCCCTCTCTAAGTGGTTTACAGAGTCAGCATATTGCCTCCAACAATCTGGGTCCTCATTTTACCCACCTTGGAAGGATGGAAGGCTGAGTCAACCTTGAGCCTGGTGAGATTCGAACTGCCAAATTGCAGTCAGTCAGCAGACATAGCCTGCAGTACTACATTCTAACCATTGCGCCACCACAGCTCTTATAGCACTTAGACTTACCTATACCACCCTGTAATGTTTCACATGAGTTTACAAATGTTAGCATATTGTCCCCAACAATCTGAGACCTCATTTTATTGACCGTGGAAGGGTGGCTGAGTCAACCTTGAGCTGGTCAGGGTTAAGCTCTTGGCTATGGGCAGAGTTAATCTGCAATGCTGCATTCTAACACTGTAGCCTGTGGTTAAAAAACACACACTAGAGGATTCAATACAATTCAAAGTAAAATAGGGTATAATGTCCCCTTCCAGTTGTATCTTTTTATCCATGTTAATTCATCTTATTGAAACTAGAGTTCTAGGAAGAAGGACACAGCTATGATGTGTTCAAAGCAATTTGTAGTGTAGTTAATTATAGAAGTACGTGCCTGTCATGTAGAATGCTTGATAGAGTGCAGAGTTTCCTTTCTAAATAAAATCTTTTACCAACCCTTATGTAAACCCAATTAGAAAATCAATTTGTAATATCTTTATGTTGCCAGAAAGGATTCGATGTTTTTAATGCACTAGACTTGATGGAAAACAAAACATTCCTGGAAAAACTGAAATTTGGTATTGGTGATGGCAATCTGCAGTATTATTTGTATAACTGGAGATGTCCTGGCATGGATTCTGAAAAGGTAACATATTTATACCAGAGATTGATTGTCCTTCCTATGCTTCTGGAGGTAACAGTAGTAATCAATACTTCCAGAAGATATGGTGGTTGAAAAGGCTGACATAGAGTAATGTTCAGATTCTCTACATCTTCATTTGTGTAATGATATGAAATGTGCTCCCCCAGTAGCAGTGTTTGTGTGTGCCTTCCTGCCATCCCTCTATATTTGGATTCCCCACACAGTGCCTGTGAATAATAATGTATTAGTAAAGTCTTCTCTTAATGTACTCTTCATCATTGGGAAACTAGCACGCTACAAAATACTGCCTACATTTTCAACAATGCTTCTGGCCCCCTAGGTACAGAATGGGACAACTTGCCATAGCCAATACACTGTGGTCAGCCAGCCATGGGACAACTCACCGCAGGACAATTCAGCAAGTACGAAAGTAAATTAATTTCAACAGAACCATGGCTGATAATAATAAAGTCAATTTAGAAATATACCGTATTTGCCGGCGTATAAGATGACTTTTTTGCCCTGAAAAAGATGCCTCCAATTGGGGGGGTCGTCTTATATGCCGGGTCGTCTTATACGCCGGCAAATAGTAATTGGGAAGCACTGTGGCTGCCCGTGGCTGAGGCACTTTTGCGCACCGTGGAAACGAATCCTGTGAAGCCAAAAGGAGCAGCCAGCCTTCTCCCAGCTCCCAAGGAAACGAGGCTCGCACCGCCCGAGCTCCGCTGAGGTATCCGGCTGGGGCTGTCAGGAGTTGTTACCGCTGGCGCAGCTCCGCGCAGCTCCAGTCCCGCATTGCCTCGGGAAGGGAAAGGCAAAACCAGGAGCCGCTGCTGCCATTGCAAAGCGCCGCCGCGGCTCTTCCTCTTCCTTGGGAGCTGGGAGAAGGCTGGCTGCTCCTTTCAGCTTCACGGGATTCGTTTCCACGGTAGACAAAAGTGCCTCAAAAAAAAAAAGTGCAAAAGTGGAAGGCGTGTGGAAGAGGGGGCGAGTATATAACAAACTATATTTTGAGTGGAAATGTTGGGGGGTCGTCTTATACGCCGGGTCGTCTTATACGCCGGCATATACGGTAAGAGTTACAATAATTTTGACAAAAAAGTAGTCACTAAGAATAAAAGTAACTGAATGAACCTGTTGTGGTTCGCCGGCAGCCAGTGCAGACGGCAGAGGTATCAGACAGTGAGGACGAAAGGGAACCAGTCAGGAAGTCTGGTGAGGACTTGGACAAGGGTCCTGCATTTGATGCAGGGATGGGGCCAGGACTGTCTGAGAATGAGGTGCTGCCTTCGAAGCCTTTGGAGTCTGGCTGCAGCCCGACAGAGGACCCGAGGGAGCTTGTTCCCAGTGCACGTGTGCACAGGGCTGGTAGAAGGAGAGCAGCTGAAGCAGCAGGAGCAAGTTGGGTGTAAGGCTGGGAGGTGATTGCCCCTCCCATAAGGGATAAAACTCAGCCCTTGGTGATGTGCTTTTTGCAGGAAGCAAAGAAGTTCATTAGATTCTGATTCCTCATTGAAGCCTTGTAGAGTATGGTTTGTCTTTGCTGGAACTTCTGTCAGTTTATCTGCTAATTAAGTGAGCATCTGTTTCTTGGCAGCCTTTTACAACCCTGAAAGGTGTGCTCTTATCTCAGACAATTGTGTTTAATGAGTTTTGGCTGGGAATGCAAATAATTCCCAGCATTGCATTAAAAAAAGGTTTGCTTTTACACAGCGTGTTTTCTTAATTTGAATGAAGCCTGAGTCAGAACAGAACCGATGTGACCCAGGCTTTGTTCAAATTAAGAAAACACACTGTGTGTAAAAGCAAACCTTTTTTTAATGCTGTATTGAATTGTCTCGCAGCGAGTTGGCAGTGGCAAGTTGTCCTGTTTCCTCCCCCCCCCTCAAGTAGGCATAGGCTCACTGCATATAGCTCCCCCAAAGTTCCCCACCTGGAGTTGGAAGTGAGAATTGGGGGGCAAATAGAAATATGATGGAGTATTTTATCATTGCCCACATTTGTAATAACCAACATTTGGCCAACTGACAGCATTCTTCTCCCTGTGGCAATACTTCCTTGTGAGAATGCTTATAGTGCTCCTAAGTGCCACACTATCCTCTAAGCATGAAGGACTTGGGTTTTACCTGCAGTAACATCCATGTTATCATTTTTCTAGGTTGGCCTTGTATTACAATAAGGTGAAAGGACACATATTTATAATTCTTGGAAGTCATCATCTGGGCTGTTGGATGCTCTTGGATCTGTACAGTTCAAGAGGAGCCAAAGCACAATGCCTGATGAACTTAAATCAATCAGTCAAACCTTGGGGGAGGAAGAGCTACAAGAAGTGAAGATTTCTGAGCTCTTCAACTCTGAATAGGAACAAAAATGCTTATGAACCTTTTACTGTTTGTCAATGAAAAAGAAATAAAGCACATTTGTTTAATTTTAAATGCTTAGCTCGCATCTTGATGCAAAGGGTACTTTTCTTTGTTTCCCTGCATAAAAATAAAAAAAGACCTTTTTGTACAACAATGAAGTTGCAGTGGTGGAATAGAGTACAAATACGTTACTGTAATGTGACTGAACTGCTGCATTTCTATTTATTAAGTGGTAGTGTATGTTTATCAATGTAACGAAATGAAGGAGCCAATTTTGAGTATTTCTGCTTATTTTAATGATGTGGATGTCATCGTCAAGAGAAAAGCTTTGGGAATATGACTAGTAGGAAAACATGCAGACTTGGGGTGTTTTTTGTAATGTGGAGTGGAACAGACATTTGCTAGTTGGACTAGTACATGTTTTTCCATAAACGATGCTGCCAAATCAATAAAAATACAAATTTGTCATTTGATCTTCAATAGATCAGTGACTTGATTATAGTATAGCACTGCTGAATGCACATGTTGATATCCTCCCCCCCCCCCCCCCCCCCGAGTTATGGTATTCTTTTCATCTTACAGTTCCGGGGGAAAAAAATTTAACACTGTTTTTGATGGTTCAGGAACAGCAGCCTGTACATGAAACTGAGAATATATTAGTACTATTATGATGTGTTAAGATGAATGTGTTTTAAGGCTTTTGCAGAATTGCACATATTCCTTTTGTCTACTTGTTTTTTTAAGAAAACATTTTAAACTGAAAAATATGTTTCTGTAAATAAGTAAATTTGTTGCTAGTAGTAGCAATATAATTCTGGTTTGGGGAAAGAGGTGGTTTCATAGTACACATTTGTATATGTTCTTGCGAACGCATTTTTGTTGGCAGCTATATGTGCCAAAATGTCTTGGTTCATATCTTATGGTAAACCTTAATATGGTTTTGTTTGGCTTAGTGTGTCATGCAAATTCAACCTACCATAATTTCTATAACAAATGATAGTTTAGCAAAATGCATGAACCAGGTCAGATATGTTTCCCTTTGGATTAATAGAGTTCAGGTTAGATGTGGTAAAGCACTGCATATGCACCCACATTTTCAATAACTGTTTATATATAGATTTATCAACTGTTTTCACACATCACAGTAAGCCATGTTTGTTGAAAAACTATTGTCAGTTTGTAGAGAACAAAATATTCTTTTGGCCAATTTTTGAGGCATTTTTGCTTCCTTTATTTATTTGCCCTTCTCCAACTGGCATTTTCCCAATGCATTGGACTGCAACTTGTAGAATTTTCCCATCAATAAAAACAGCCTCATTTGAACATAGTGCCAAGCCATAATATCATTTGTTTGGTTTTTGGCTGCAAGTGATATGTCAACCCCCATAGGCTGGCTTGACATGCTGTGGGAAATGGCCATCTAAATTTTAATATTTCTTGAATAATTCTTGTTTTTCATATTTCAAAATAATATATTGATTCCATCACATTTTTGAGAAGTGGGGAAAGGGAGTTGTAGATGTTTAATAGTGACCTGAACATATTTTAAAGGTAGGTTCATCAAGTACAAGGTTGCTGGAGAAAAAGTGTTATCAACATTTGATAACACTTTTGATCCTAATCAAAAGTGTTAATCAACACATTTGATCAACACATTTGATCCTAATTTAACCAACACATTTGATCCTAATTTATTAGTAGCCTTGCTAGATAGTATAACAAGCAATTTAACCAAATATTGAAACCATGTTTGTACATTTCCAAATTTGGAAAATTTCAAAGAGATTCCAATAGCCTAGCTTAGAAAGAAGAGTGTGTGTTTTCACTCACCCTAAATCAAAAATTGCTATTTCAGTTGCCAAATCTCAAGCTTGCACTCTTTTCCTATTGTTAGATAGTTAATGGGGGAACGGACTCTTGTACATGTTTTTCCAAAAGCTAATGTTGCATACAAACTAGGAATTATAACTTGAAATGTTACCAGAAACTCCCAATAGCACTAATTCTGGATTTTGCATTAGTTGCGAAAAATCTGTACTTAAAAATAACTTACACCTTTTTAAAGGACACAGTTCTATACTCCCTATCCTGTTTCTCCTTCCAATTTTCCTATTTCTAACACCCGTTCTATAGCAACTCAATGAAGTTTATTCCAAACAATTATTTTAATTATACAACTAGGACCAATTTTAGTGCTTGGATTTAATAACGTATTTATCTGAATATGACAATACTGTGTCCTCCTCTCAGAAATCTGCTTCTCTGGACCAGTGCACCTCACAAGCTATTAATCCAAAAGCCTCTAGTCTCAAATGCCTCTCTATCTTAGTGCAGGGAACTGATCTGATACGCTAAAGAAAGTAATTTGTGTTATTAAAAGCAAAATGCATCTATGCTCAGTTCTGCATGTTCTACTTGATGAAAATCAACTGTTTAAGAAAAAAAATATTAAACAGAAAAAGGCTGTGCTGTCAAATGTGCAGCTGTTTTCAGTTACAGTATCTTAACAGTTCTTGAATTTTATTGGCACCAATGAATGTTTGAATAAATGTATCACTTTCATACTATTTTGTTTTGAATAATTATGTTTAACCTAAAATATTTATTACTTCAAAAACCAAGGTATTCTGTTTAAAATGATACATCCATATAGGCTGGGGAAGATGAAAGTTGTAACCCAAAATATCTGGAGAGCATCAGATTAGGAAAGGCCATCCTAATTAACTATAGAAGGCAACATGAACTAAATATGATTTTTATTCCAACATCATGTACAACGGCCAGCTTTTCCATCTTGCCTACTTAAGGTTACCAACATCACTAGAAACAAACTTTATATATACATGTACACACTTATAGAATACATACATATTTCCATGCTGTATCTACTGCAGAAGCCACATTCCAAAAAATTATAGCCAGGATAAATAAGTTATATTTATTGAATTCATAATTCTTAATAAAAATCACCTGGAACAGGCTACTTATACAATGAACTAATTTTTCTGTTGGCATGCATGAACACATTCCCCTTGTTTCTTCACTGGCTGGAAATTGGCTAAGGGAAAGCAGAAGAAAAATATAAAATGAAAAATGAAAAAAAAAAAATAAGGGGAAGAAATAACAAGAATGGAGGGGAAAGGAAATTATTTTAGGCATTATATATATTGAGTAAATGGCCCCTTCTACATGGGTACAACTTTAAAAAAACATACCTTTGGAAAAAAACGCTTTTAGTGATATCACATTATTATACATCAGTTTAGGCAAATGGAAATGCAAAGTCTAGCAATCAACATTACTTCGAAATACGTTTTTTAGTTTTGGGAAGCTTGCGGCATTTTTTTGGGTTGGGAACTACATTTTTAACTTTAAGTGTCTGCAGAGTAGGTGAAGCAAGTGGGCTGTTATCTGCTAGTTTCCACTTGTGACCGAGAGAGCTTCCTACTGGGGTAGACTCGGTGAATTCGGTAGCTGAAACAGTCATAACATTAGTATCATTTATTAAAAGTGGTTCAGTTCCATGCTGTATCCATGGCAGATCTAAACTAGGAATTCGTGGAATAATTACTTCAAGTACCTTTGCAAACACATCAGCAGTTCTTTTAAACCCCAAAGCTAGCACAGATGTTAATCCAAGCACGGGGGCTAATGTTTCGCTGAGACGTGGAACTTGCCCAGCTGGAATAGCTCGACTTGCACTGAGTGGAATCAGATGAGATGTTAGCAAGGCAGGTTTGGCAGATTTGCATACCAGTACCAGACACAATTCATTTTTTTCTAAGGCTCTAGTTACCTCGTTGATCCCAATAGCAAGCTGGTTCCTGATTTGCATATCAGACCACCCATGTGCTTTTGAATCATCAGCCCCTTTGTCCTCATTAAATTTGCTCGGAAAATTGGAACATTCTTCCTTCTTTCGCCTTTTTCTAGAGGTGGGTTTCATTCTCTTCTGATCCTCTATCTTTTTAAACCCAATCTGCTTCATGATTTCTTCCAAGGTCTGCAAGACAAAATGCATATCCTCTCCTGGCAGTGTACACCATTGTGGAATATATGGATTGTTCAAAGAAGTTTTCACAATTTGTTTGGATTTACGGGCTGATCCTTTCCCCCGCAGACCAGACATTTCGGTGTGCTTACACTTTGGACTCTAATCTGAAATGAACACAAGAGAAAAGATGTTAAGTATTTTGCTTAAAATGTAGCACTAATTAAAAAGAATGAAATGTCCCATTTGCTTTTCTTGTATTGACTTCATTCTATGTTATTAAAAGAATCTGAAGCTGTAATTTTACAGGTGAAAAATATGCCTGTGGTATTGGAAAAAAAGCTACACCCAAGTAGCTACAGTATTGTTAATGATTTGCCTACAATAATAAAAAAAATCCAGTGTTCAATCAGTGTTAATATTTTCACTTGAGACACTTAAATAAGTAAATTTAAATCACCATATTCTGAATGCATTATGCAAATCTCCTGAAAAGTCTGAAAGATGGGAGGAAAAAGATGAGGCAAGGCAGAAGCAAGATGGGTGTACTTGGTTACATCGGCAATGGGAGCACTGCTGGAAAACCTGAAGGACCAGGCTGGGAAGAGATCGTGCTAGATGTCTAATGAAAATGATACAAACTTGATGATACATCAATTAATCAACAGGAAATCCCAGCAGAGACTGGAAGGGCTGTAGCACCAAGAGAGCTTTGGAACCAGTAGATTCCCAAACTCATTTCTGCTTACAATATTGGGGGGTGGGGAGAAACTAGATCAGGGGTCTCCAACCTTGGCAACTTTAAGACCTGTGGACTTCAACTCCCAGAATTCTTCCTCCAGTCATGTTAGCTCAGGAATTTTGGGAGTTAAAGTCCACAAGTCTTAAAGTTGCCAAGGTTGGAGACCCCTGAACTAGATCATCTCAGTAATGAAGAGTTTTTTGTCTCCCATAGATGTAGAAATAGAATTGTAGAAAAAAAAAAGTAAAGTAGAGAAAAACGATGATCACCTACAAACTTGTACAAGCCTTAGAGAAGTTAGAGAAGTGCCAACTTGTCTGCCAACTATTGTCATATCCTTCCCCTGTTGCAAGACAATTCTTGCTATTACTTGCCGGCAAACAAACTATGTATGTGTTCCAACCATGTGCACTGCATGCACATAAAACAATGATAAATAATGGGAAACAATAGCGAAGTATTCCTGAACAAAAATCCCTTCTTGGTCAAAAAATGGCTGTGTCCTGTGGATTTGTAACCTGATGGTTTAGGTTCTCACAATATAAACTATCCAAATAGCCTGGATTTATACAACATATTAAAATAGGCTTGTTATCCTCCCTTGAAAAATATATAAGGTGGGAAAAGTGGAATGAACATGGTTAATTAGAGAAATGAAGGTTGACCTACTGGAGGACCTAAAGGCTGGAGCTGGCTCATGTCAAATTTTAAATTTTGTAAAAACTGCTCAGCCAGTTACCAGCAGAGCTGAGCCACAATGCCCAGCATGCCAAATCAACTGTTAAGAAGCTAGCAGCACAGAGAAACGGACTGGAACTGGCAGAGCCTGCTCCTAACATCTAGTACACTGCAACCTAAAGAACCAAGTTGAAAACTGATTATCCTGTAGAATGTTTATCTATGTGTTTCCAGGAACAGATACCAATTAGAAGACCCATCATCAAGTTTGTTCAGCAGTCATGCAAAATAGCCAATCTTTAGCTTTCTGTGATAAAGAGCATTGAGATCAACCTTTAGAGACTACACGGACATACTCATGCTTCCTTGGCGAAAATATGGAAACTTCTTTGATGCTTTTACCATTCCCAGATTCCTCCCCCGCCCCCTCGTTTCCTAAAGTTTCTGCTATTCTTTCCTCCAATTTCCAATCAGTACTGATATATAGATTAACAAAGTGAACCAGCTCCTACCACCCGCTGCTTCTAACTACCCACCGAAAATAAAAGATCCTGTTCTATTTTCAGAATATTGGGACACCTTTCTCTGCTAAACGCTGACAGGCAATAAAAGGACATGAAACCCCAGCACAATAAAGCAAGTTCAGGTTGTGCAACTTTCGAAACCAACGCTCCCTAAAGTTGCAATAGTAGACATAACAATACAGAAGGAAAAGATAACCGCCCGGTAAGTTTTTTTTTTCCTTAAAGGAGAGCTTATTGCAGGGGGTTCCAAACTTGGCAACTTTAAGACCTGTGGATTTCAACTCCCAGAATTCTCCAGCCGGCTGGAGAATTCTGGGAGTTGAAGTCCACAGGTCTTAAAGTTGCCAAGTTTGGAGAGCTCTGGCTTATTGCATGGAGCTCTTCCAATACGATTTAAAGGGAATTCTGGGTTTGCTATCAATGAAACAAGCAAAAGGCAACGCTACATACACCTCCTGCGCCTTCGCTCACCTGGTTAGCCCGCAGCTTCACGTGTCTCCAACCCTCCGGGAAAAGCCCGCCACCCGCTTCCCTTCTAAACTCCAGCAGCGTGATCGATTTCTCCCTCCGCCGATGGAAGCGCAGCGGCGCTCATTCAAAAGCAACGCTCGGTCGCAAGGGCATCTTTCCCACGCCGCGTTCAGCAGAGCAGGAAGCGGAAGAAGACAGTTAAACGCGTCAAGCTAGGCCCACGGCTCGCCTCGCCAGCGCCTCTCCGCGTCGGGGCGGACTCTTGACGGAAAGGAAGGGCGCGCAAAACCTATCAATTCCAGATTGCCGGAACCTTTCTGCATTCACGCCTCTCCTGAGCGCCCCCCAGTGGCCATAAACCGCAAAATTGCTTGAACTACAACGACGGTGGAAAAGCCAGGACAGAGTTTACAGATTAACAGAATTGGAAGGGACCTTGTAAGTCATCTAGTCCAGCCCCTGCCCAAACAGAAGATCCTACACCATTTCTGACAAATGGCAGTCCAATCTCTTCTTGAAAGTCTCAAGTGATGAAGCTCCCACAACTTCTGAAGGCAAGCTGTTCCATTGGTTGATTGTTCTCCGTTCCTGGAACAAGCTTTTTTAAATAAAAATCATGCTGCTAATAGTGCAAAAAAAAAAATTACAAAGTAAAAACAGTAAATAAGAAGCCATACAGAAATTATAACTCTTACAAGGTTCGATTAGCTCTTAACACTTCCAAATTTATCCTGAGCAATAGAATAACTCTTATCTGCAGCTTTCTCCTTGCCAGCCCAAATAGTGATATTTACTGATCACAATTAGTGATGCAATTAAGATTAAACAGCCGTCAAAAACCCAGACTGGTCCCATTTACCAGCATATCACCCAGTGAGACAAGGAAAAAAGTGTTTTCTGCTATAATACATTGCATTGGCCCTGCTAATCTTTAGGAGGGGGATGGTAGGGGACAGGAAGGCCTGGAGGAATGTTGTCTATGGCAGGGGTCCCCAAGCACCGGTCCGCGGACCGGTACCGGTCCGTGGAACAAGTCCTACCGGGCCGCTGGTTTGCTGGGCGCCGCCATCTTTTTTTGATGAAAAAGTGCTTCCGGTGAGCTTTTCCGGGTAGAAAGCCATTTCTACCCGGAAAAGCTCACCGGAAGCGCTGGCGCCGCCATCTTTTTTTGATGAAAAAGTGCTTCCGGTGAGGTCACCGGAAGCACTTTTTCATCAAAAAAAGATGGCGGCGCCCAGCTGATGCCGGTACCGGGCCGCGGCGCCCAGCTGATGCTGGTACCGGGCCGCGGCATAAAAAAGGTTGGGGATCACTGGTCTATGGGATCACGATGGGTCAGGCACAACTTTGAAACTAACAACAATCTTTAGGAAGGCCCTAAAAACATGGCTCTACTACCATGCCTGGGGTCTGGCAATGGAGGGGAGTTCTTACAATCGATATCTTGAGCTGTGGCATGATGAATTCTATTGTTGATCATGAATTTTTACAAGTTATAGTTTTTATATTTTTGTTCATTGATTTTTAATTTGTTTGTATTGGGTTATTTTTATCTATTGTGAACTGTCTATAGCAGGGGTCCCCAACCGCCGGTCCGCGGACCGGTACCGGGCCGCGGAACAAGCCTTACCGGGCCGCTGGTTGCTGGGCGCCGCCATTTTTTTTGACGAAAAATCACTTCCGGTGACGTCACCGGAAGTGATTTTTCGTCAAAAAAAGATGGCGGCGCCCAGCTGACGCCGGAACCGGGCTGCGGCGCCCAGCTGACACCGGAACCGGGCCGCGGCGTCGAAAAGGTTGGGGATCCCTGGTCTATAGAGATGGGTGGTCAAACAAATTGAATAAATAATGATTTTAAAAATTCCAGGAGGTTAATTTAATATGATTCCAGATCTCACGCAAAAATGTCCCACATCAATTCTGAATAAAAATTCACAAATCTAGTCAACATTTTGAAATGGAAATGAATGTTTTAATCTATCATTCTAACTCCTGTGAAATGGTGATTTAGGCTAGAAGCTGGTATCAATATTTTACTTTTGCATCTGTGACTAGTAAAATATTGGGTTGAATGGAAATTCTGTATTCTCTGCAGCAATTCAAAATACTTTTTTTGGTTGGAAAACGATTTGGATCTTCAAGCATCAATCCTTTTCAGATTTCAGTCTATATCTATAAAAGCAAAATACCACTCACGCATCATCACAAAATCTCCACAACCGTAAAGTCTACAAACTTGAAATTTGCCACGTAACTTGAAATTTGGCTTCTAAGAAAGGATTTTTCAAAATGACTATCAGAGCATTAGTATTTTGTATATTATTATTAACACAGTCTGATGCTAAGGAGTTCTACTCCCACTCCCCACTGAAAAGAAATCTGTTCCAAATGCAAAACACAAGCAGAGGAGTGGAATTTCAGTTTCACAGCAGCAAGCAGCTTTAGTACAGAACAGTTCAGCTAAATCATGCCCAGGCTCCTTGCTGTCTCCTTCTTGCTCAAACAGTTTCCAAACAGCCCTCAACTGTCTCACACAGACAGGACGCTAGCCAGATGAATGGATGCTGATAAGCAGAGGCAGAATCCCCCCCCCCCTTATTTTCTTCCCCAAAAACTAAGCCTGGCCACATAGTTTCGTAGCGAAGCACAGGTATCAAGCTAGTAACAGATAAATTTTGCTGGCCAAGAAATTGGCATTCCAAGCAGTTTTCCCCAATAAGGAAGAAACAAATAGCAGAATTAGATTCATGGTAAATTATCTTATTTTGCCACGGCCTTCTAAATTGCATGACCCGTTGGTGGTTCTTTTTGGTCCTTATGTGTCATCAATTTAGTGTTGTCTTTTAGTGACAGACCTTTTCCAGGATGATCTGTTTCCAATCTAGCTCTTGAGGTATTTCAATAGTGGACCCATCAATGCTTCAAACAAGTCCACTTCACTTTGCTACTGATCAATCTCTTTTCTCTTTCCTGCTATCTTTCTTAGCATTATAAAGTTGTATTTTTTCAAAATGAGTCCAAAATACTATTTGCCCCTGCCCAATTGTACCTTGGATAAAAGTATCTGGATAGATTGGTTCCATTATCTGCTTGATTATTTTCTTGGTTTCCGAAAACCAAACTACAAAATCATCAATATCTTGCTTCTTCAAAATTCAACATTCACGCTACACGTTCATATATCACACAGAACACTGTTGCTTGAATTATTTTAAGTACAAACATATTCCGACATCTGAATATCATTTCCAAGCATTGTATTGCTACACAATCATGTTACATCTGCAGTTTATTTTTTGATTGCTGGCCCCTTTAACACTGACGTCAACCCTAAAAGGCAGAAGTTCAGTATCCATCCCTTTAATATCTTCACTATGAGTTCTAGAATCAATGACTGTATCCACTAGCTTTAATTTTGTCTTTTTATTTAATAATCCTATTTGTATTAGTCCTTGATTTTCATTACTAGAGCTTCAGATAATTTGCATTTTCAGTTATCACAACAATGTCATAAGCACAATGTATTTTTCTTTTTAAATCTACTTCTTCCAATCCAACCTCTCACTATATAATCTCATATAGACTGAATAAATATTGGGAAAGTATATAACCTTGTCACACTGCTTTGCCAACTTGGGTCTAATCTGTTTTTTTCGTCTTGTGGCTTCCTCTCCTGCATATAGATTTCACTTGAAGACAATGAGATATCTTGGGATTTCAGTTTCCCAAGCACATTCCAGACATAACTAAGGCTCTTTCTATAATCAGTTGGTTGCAAAATTACTTTCTCATCATGATCATAATTGCAAATAGTTGCTGTAAACAAGGCAATTCCTAAATGAGACAACCTATAGCGCTTTCTCATTTGTACAGGCTTAAGCAGGGTTGTTTTGCCTCCTGCTATATTAATATAGGCAACTTCATTCCAATAAGATCAATTGCTCCTACTGTGGAAAGAATGACCGCTCTCCTCCTTGTCACTAAAAGCTGCATTTTATTTTATTTTTATTTTCCCTAGGTGACATTGAGAAGAGTTCTGTGACTTTTAACCCAAGTGACAGGGAAAAAAGTCAAACCGCAGTCCCACCCTTTTAATTCGTTTGGGAAGGGTAAAGAAACAGGAATCTACTAATCAGAAGTTGTAATGAACATCAGGTCATTATCATAGCCAAAACACAAATGAGCTGAATCCCATAAAAGTCACTCTTAATCCAGCCTCATTTCTAGTTGATATGCAGGAGGCAAGCAATTTAAACAGCAGTGTGGAAAATCCCTTAAGAATATTGGGGATGAGATTAGATATGTACATTTGGTCTTATTAAATAGAGAACTGGATTAGGATGTAATAAGGAGTCCCTTAAAATTTGCTGAGCAAAAGAAACAAGCAATGATTGTTAGTATACTAATTAGAAAGGAAACCATGCCACAGGCACACATCTACATTTTCAGAGTTGATTTTCTACAATTGAAATCAATAGGGGACACCAGAAATTGCAGTGCTTCACTCTAACCCATCTAGTTTATATATTAATAGCAAACTGTAGGTAGGACTGCTGTAAAACAAAGGATGTGCTTATTAATTCTGAGTATAAAATAAGTGTTAAGAAAATGGCCAGGGGCAAAATCTCCCAATCCAATAAAATAGTCAAGCAGAGTTCTATCAATAGAATATTGATTAATGTATTTACCTGAGATACAATTTCTTCAAATAATTTACTTTTAAAATGAATGTTGCCCTAATGAATTTTTCTCATAGTCTTTTTAAAAATGGTAATAGGTCAACTAATTCTAAAGTTTTCTTTTCAAATTCATATTTATTCTTTTCAGATTAATAACATAGAAAACAGCAACTGGAAAAGGGGAGGATTGAAATGGTCTACTTTATGAATGAATGAATTCTTTATTGGCCGAGTGTGATTAGACACATTGGATTATTCTAATCTATTATACTTCATTTTAATTCTGGGTTAAAAAAACATCCAGGGAAAAGCATTTTTTGTTTCTAGGTGCAATTTTTCTAGCTGTCAGTCAATGAAATATGAAGGTGGCTGGACCCATTGCTCCCTGGTTCCAAGGCTGCATTTAAATACTTTTCTGATTTAGACATTTGTGGACAAAGTTGCATAAGGCACCTTTCTCTCTCAGCCTAACTCACTTAAGAGGGATGTTGTGTGGGGAATAGTAGGAAAAAGATGGGCTGGACGTATTCGCTTCCTTAAATTGTTTTAA